GCGTCCAGATCCAGAAGGACGGGCAGGTACTGGCCAATCAACCAGACTTTGTGGTAGTAGACAAGGACCAGAAGACTGGTGATAGATGTAGCAATATCAAATGACAGCAACATAAAGAAGGAACATGGAGAAGTGCCAGGGCCTGAAGGAGGAAGGTGGGAAATCAAGACCTAAGTGGTCCCAGTACTGGTAGAAGTGACACAGGGCTGTCACTCTTAAACTGGGAGAGTAGACCCAATAGATCCCAGGAACAACACCAGAGCTTTCTGTCCTGAAGTGCGCAGGGCTAGGAACAGCTAAGATTCCGTTCAGAACCCTCCAAGTCCAACAGAGAAACTGAGATGCAGGAAGGCCACATCAACTAACCAAAAAGTTTTCCCTGTTACCGAATTTTAGCGTTGAGGACATGTGCCCCACCGACAGATGTTCCTGATCCAGAACTGAAAAGAAGCAAGTCTGAATTCAAAGGGCAAGTTAGCATTTTTAGCCCTTTTCCATCTGACTTTTGCAAGAAAGAGTCATTGGCATTAAAGGAATGTCTGGTTTCAGGTTGGCCTTTTACAAAGAGATCTAACCTGGCACAACTGTACAGCACCACCACATTGCTTCTTCTAGAAAATGATCTTTCCATCACGCAGCTGATTGAAAACAGAAACTTTGCAGCTTAGCTGGAGTCAATCAATCAATCAGAATAGAGCTGGAAGAGACCTTGGAGGTCTTCTAGTCTAACTTTCACGCAGGAGACTCTATACCTGTGATGGCGAACCTATGGCATGCGTGGCGCAGGTGGCACAGGGAGCCCTCTCTGCAGGCACGCGAGCTGTCGCCCAGCACAGCTTCACCGCACAGGTGTGCATTCCTCCTGTTGGCCAGCTGACTTCCAGGTCTCTGCCATGTATGCGGGAGATACACGTGAAGGGGAGGGGCGTGTCGCACGCACATGCACAGGGGGAGCATGGGGATGTGGTGCTCCTCCCCCCAGCGCCCCATTTTGGTTTCAGGAGGCTTCAGGGAGGCCTCAAAATAAGGCATGGGGAGGTCGCACACATGTGCAGGGGAGAAGCATGGGGGGATCATGCACATGCACAGGGGGAGGAGGGAGGAGCATGGGGGGCATGTGTGCATGCACAGGGGGTGGGGTGCATTGCATTATGCGTGTGGGCACGTATGCGTGTGCTGTTGCATGCGTGTGCATGGTTTCGGCACATGAGAAGAAAAATATTAGCCATACGCTATACTCTTTAGTATAGTCTTTAAGATAAGTGATACGGTTCCACCACAAATGCGCGAACGACAAAAGCGCGCCTGACTAAACTGCGGTGACAAAACCGTGCCAACAAAACCGCGNGGGCAGTGCTCATCTCCGTTTCGAAGCCGAAGAGCCAACACTGTACGAAGATGTCTCCGTAGTCATGTAGCCGGCATGACTAAATGCCGAAGGTGCACGGAACGCTGTTACCTTCCCACCAAAGGTGGTTCATATTTTTCTACTTGCATTTTTACATGCTTTTGAACTGCTAGGTACATCCAAAAGGTTTCTAGAGAATTTCTTTTAGCTTATCTTTTTAGAACTTTTTCCTTTCCTTTCCCACCCAGAGTTACTTAAATGAGATGGACAACCATATAATGGGAGACAGAGAAGGTGTATGACACAGTAGTGATCAGAAGCAACAGAAGGCAAGAAGGAATATTGCTTTCCCTTCTGCTGTAGTCTCTCTCTCTCAATAGTTTGGCCATGGAGAACTTGATTATTTACAAATACAGGGACCATTTTCTAGAAAACAAACTGGTGTCCTCTAGACATCACCATGACTAGGATATTCTCTATAATTCAATTAACTTTTCTCTTTTAGGGAGTAGATGAGTAGATACTTGGCAACAGTTACTGTAACTGTACCCATACAATCAAACCTCCACTGCCCTTTTATATACTGTATAAACTCTTATAAAAAGAGGCAGAGCTTTGACTGTATGGTCATAGCCACTATATTGATGTTTTACCACCACCACCCCTCCCCCAAATGCTCTTTCAGCAAGCCAATTTTCTCATTGAAAAATTATTTTTGTAGTTCTTTTTTGCAAAAGAAAAGTCAAGTCTGTCATTAAACTTGACATTTGCCAAGTGAAACAGCAATGGGCACATTGGATCTCACTGAGAGCATATTGCCCATCACTCTTCAGATCATTTCTGACCACACAAACATGGTCAGGAGAGACTTTGAGTAGTAGTAATTTGAAGGGCAGCAAGCAATTTGCATTCACTGTGAAGGAACTTTTATAATGCCATATGATAACATTACAAAAAAACAACACCTGCGGACTCTGTCCAGCGCTTTGGAGCCTCCATAGGGATTCATCACCGAAGGCAGTCAAAAAAAGCAAGATACCCTCCCCCCATGCATTCTCATACAAAACCAAACCCAACTAATAAAAGTAGTCTCAAAGAAATCATCACTCATCCTGATAGTTGCAGGAATACTCTTTAGCCTAAGCATTCAAGCTTCCAATTCTTTAAATATTAAACGTGTTTTAAAATGAAAACAAATGTCTTCTGAATTGAAAGTACTGAGTAAAAAAACCCAACAAAGTAACCTGATTCTACAAGAAAAGGAATCTGTTTATGTGTTTATGTTTCAAAATAAAACAAGGGGTCAGAAGCTAGGAGCCTTGGTACTGAAACTGGCCCTGAAATATGGTCAAGGATTCCCTTCCCCACTTTTATCAACTTGGAGGCAAAGAAGGATGCTGGCTATGGCAATGGGATGAGCTGCCTTGGGGGTAAAAGATGTGATCTTGGCCTTCACTTTCCCAACTTCTGGTCATTCAGGAAGTGTCGACCTAGCAAACCACAAGTTGAGCAGGTGACTATAATTATAAGGAGATTACAGCATTAAGAACCACACTGTCTTATCACACCATAGTGATAAGCAGCTATTACAAATAGCAAAGGTATCCTTGAAGGGGGGAAAAAGAGGGTGTGAATTTTGGCAAGTGAGCCCCTAGTGATGCAGGCCAAGAAGGAATTTGAGGAACAAATAGCCGAAGACAGAAAACAAATAATGTTTGAAGCGGAGGGAGCAAAGTCTGCCAAGGAAATGTTACAGACCATGAAGGCGTAAGTGGAACACACAGAGCTGACAAGAAGATGTGGAGAAGTGTGGTGAACCTGTTGCGTGAGGCTTTGCAGTAGGAAATATTGGGGGGATTAACCCGCCTTGCAGATCCCTTGGAGATGAAGAAAACTGGGCAAGAAGCACAAATTAAAGGTTCCCAAGATGTGGTCCAAGAATTAGGTGGGTAGACTAAGCCCTCATGAGTCACGATAACCACACTATTAAATCACTTCTGTAACACTTCTCCATTTCAACTCCATAATCCTTATTGAGACTCTTTGCAGTGGTTACGCATTTCTGATTGAATGCTGTCTCTGTTCTCCTGCTCAGACAAGGGCTAAGATCCTGGATAAAAATGTTCCAAGTGGAATATTTCACCGTTTTCCAGTAGCGAAATCTTAGCAGGTGGGGAGAGAGAGCTGTCATGTCCCTAGTGTGCAACATAATATTGATAGAATCCATTGCCCTAAGACAGGTGTTAGGTAAGCTCCCCGTTGGGAGACCGAGTACGTTCAGATAAGTGTTGTGTGCTGTTGGAGAACACACAAACCAGCATGCAGAGACACTGCAGTTTAAATAGGTTTTTACTTTCATGAAAATAGAGGTATCAGAGTCCATCAAACAATCCAAATCATACATGGATAAGACAGTCATCAATGTCTTTCAGTTAAGGGATAATCCAAATAACATAGTCCAGTATCATATAATAAGTTCAATACTCAAAGTTTGCTAGCAGTTGCAAAACTTACAATAGCTCACGACACTTTCTAACAGCCAGTTTCCAAAACACTCAGATCAGATCAGCCCAGCATCTAACAATTCCAGGTTGAGCTGGAAGGTGGCGCAGTGGTTAAATGCANCCCTGTGTCCCCTCCCCTCTGGATTTTACTATCAATCACATTCAATCTGTCAATCACATTTGCCAACCGGATGTTATGGCAGGGTTCTGGACATGCGCCTTCACATCCCAGTTACAAGAATATGAGACTTTACTCTAGCCAAAAGTATGCATGGAATTTTCCTCCCTTCTCAAGTTGATAGTAGTCATGGAAACGCTTTAGACGTTGACATCGGTCTCCTGACAGGTGAGCGGGAGACACCTACTTCCCAGGATTCCTGAGGACACCACATTTCCCAGAATCCCTCAGTGCACCAGATTTCCCAGAATCCCTCAGTGCACCACATTTCCCAGAATCCCTCAGTGCACCACATTTCCCAGAATCCCCGAGGGCACCATATTTATTTCCCAGAATCCCTCAGTGCACCACATTTATTTCCCAGAAACCCTGAGGGCACTACAATTATTTCCCAGAATCCCTCAGTGCATCACATTTATTTCCCTCAGTGCACCATATGTATTTCCCAGAATCCCTGGTGCAGCATTTATTTCCCAGAATCCATCAGTGCACCATATGTATTTCCCAGAATCCCCGAGGGCATCAATTTGTATTTCCCAGAATCCCTCAGTGCACCATATTTATTTCCCAGAATCCTTCAGTGCACCACATTTATTTCCCAGAATCCCTCATTGCACCACATTTATTTCCCAGAATCCCTGGGGTGCCACATTTATTTCCCAGAATCCCTCAGTGCACCACGTTTATTTCCCTAGTTTCCCACGTGCCCCGTATTTATTTCCCAGAGTTCCTGACTATTTCCCAGAATCTCTGTGTGTGCCCCATTCATTTCCCAGAATCCCTCAATACACTGTATTTACTTCCCAGAATCCCCGAGAATCCTGGTCCGTTGCCATTACAACCCGCAACAAATACCAAATCTGTCTTTCGTAAAATAACACACACACCCCTCCAGCGTTCAGAAGGATCAAGGCGGGATCTAGCCCACCCAGCCTTCCCCAGAGCTCGGCTTCCCAACCAGCCTTCTTACCGAGCGGCATGCTGATGCGATCGCTGTCCCTTCCTCTGAGTTTGTTGCGCTTGAAGGTTCCCTTGCGCTTCTTCACGTGCGGCCGATCGCGGTTCATCTGCTGGATGAGGAGGCTGAGTTCGCGCTCGAAGACCTCCAGCTCCCACTGGGCCAGTTCGTGTTCCCGCTGGCGGAGAAATTCCTCCTGGGACTTCTGCTTCAGGGCCGCCTGCTTCAGCTCTTCCTCCCGGCTCAACAGCTCCTGGGGAGAGAAAGGGATCCCGAACAATCCCCCACCTGTGAGGGAGGGAAACTCTCGGTCGTCGTTCCCCCCACTCCCGGAGATCTTTGGATCCTCCAGTCATGATGTGATCTACAGTTTGATGCAGATCCTTGTCTTAAAGGAGTGATTTCCTAGTGGCCTCCCGTCCCACCTACAGGTAGTCCTCAACTTACAACAGTTTGTTTAGTGACCGTTTAAAATTACAACGGCACTAAAAAAAAAGGATTTGTGATTTTTTTCATACAACTATTGCAGCATCCCCATAGTCACCTGATATACATTTGGATGTTTGACAACTGGTTCGTAGTTATGACGGTTGCAGTGTCCCGGGGTGTGTGTGTGTCATGCGATCCCCCTTTTGCGACCTTCTGACAAGTCCATGGAAGCCCATGTTCCCTGCACAACCATGCTAACAACCACTGGGGGGTCCGCGAGAAAATGTTGGTGGACCGCTGAAAAATTATTTGCATTTTTGATATTGCATTCAATCAGGGGTCCTCAAACTACGCCCCCTGGGACGGATACGTGTGATGAACGCTTGCTGCAGAGAGTCTCCCCCTTCGGGGTCTTTTTGTGTGGGTCGGAGGGGGGCAGAAATTCCGACTTGGGGTCTGCTTCAGCCTCCTGGTGGGGGGCTTTGGGCGAAGGCTGGNAAATCTCACCGGCTCAGGGTTGACTCAGCCTTCCATCCTTCCGCGGTGGGTAAAATGAGGACCCGGATTGTTGTTGGGGGCAATATGCTGACTCTATAAACCCCTTAGAGAGGGCTGAAAGCCCTATGAAGCGGTATATAAGTCTAAACTGCTATTGCTATTGCTGGAATTTCTTTCCGGGGTGTGGGGAGAAGGAGGAGGGCTGGAAGGGAATGGAAAGCTAACCGGGACCGTGGGGGAGTGGGGTTGTTCTCGATCCCAGTGTCGTTTCCCCCCCGCCCACCCTGAAACGGGGAAGGACCCTCTGGCATGAGAAAGGGAGCAGAGGCAAGAACCCCAGATAGCTGCCTATAAGGAGGAGCCAGGATGGGAACGGGGAAAGGGCACCACAAGGCGAGCCACCCCTGGCTGCGGCGGCTTAGTGTTCATTGCATAGCGGAGATGCGGGGAGGAAGTGAGCCCCTCTTTGCGTGACCCCCAGTTTTCACCACCGAGGTCCCGAGTTGTTTTAAAATGTCCTTCCTTGTAGAACAGCCGTCTCTCTGGTCCTCGCATCTTTGGCCACAGTCCCGTCCCGCGAAGCCCGGCAGGCGTATTTCTGGAAACCGCGTGTCCCTGGTCATTTGGGGATGGTGCTTCCTGGGGGGCAGGAGGTCTCCCCCCACCAGGACGCGGCTGGCAAATCCTCTTGCGGAGGTGGGAGTGGTCTGGAGGTCCAGCAAACCGCAGGGCTCAGTGTCTCTGGGGCTGCCCGGGTGGAGGTCCCCAGAAAAGGGTCGGCGGGCACCGAAAAGTCCCCCCAGGTGAAGGGGTCCGAATTGGGCGCCCCGAAAGGGTTGGTGCTTTCGGGACCGAGTGGTTTGAACTGTCGTGGAGCCAGGCGGGGCGACTGGACTGGGGTGACTGCTGGCGAGGCCCGGGATCCTGACGAGACGAAGCTCCAGGGGTCGATCCGGCTGCGGATAGGGGAAGGACGGGGACGGGAAATGAGGGTGGGGTGAAGGGAGGGGCGAGGGGAGCGGGGGCTGCGGGGGGAGGAGGGAGAGGGGAAGGCGCCATCTGTGGGAAGAGTGGAAGAGCAAAGCTGCGATTGATCGAGGGAAGACATTCGGGTGCATCTCTAAGCTACGGATGGATGGACTTCAACTCCCAAAATCCCCCAGCCAGCTTGCTTTAAGATAGGTGGACTTCAACTCCCA